CATCCTGGATGAGCATGCTGCTCCCCACATCAAGAGATGGAACCTGACTCCTGTCCCCTAAAATCTGGGCTGGCCTGAGGACTTTCTTGACCAAAAGAATGAGGAGTTAGTGACATTCTGGGACTTCCAAGATTAGTTCATAAGAATCTTCGCAGCTTCCACCTGGGAATGCTTATACGAGGGGCAAGCAGGGCCACCCAGGAAGACACCACCATCCTGGGATGATACCCCAGGTGCCTGAAGAAACGTCTGCAGGATGAAATGCCAAGTGGAGAGCACGGTCAAGCTGAATGGAGTTGGCAGACACGTATGTGAAGAAACCACACTGGATGTCTAGACTCCAGCCCCAGCGGCCCCAGCTGATGCCACTGGAGCAGAAACAAACTGCCCAGCTCTGTCCTTCCCAAATTCTGGTCCCAAAAATCATGAGCAAAATAAATTATTGCTTTAAGCCACTAAGGAACTGAAATAATAAGCAATAAGTAATCGAAGCAGCTCACACCATGGTTGGTCCATTCGTGAAAAATTTTTAATTAGTTGCCAACATTTGAAAATCCAGACTGCCCGTAAGAATCAGGATGCTCAGTTTTCTTGAGGACCCGGAAGCGCCCGCAGCCCAGGGCCTGTGTGTCTACATGGCACAGAGAGGTGCTGGGACTCAAGGCCGCTGCTCGCCGGGCCCAGGCCAGGCCCTGCTCTCTGGGTCACCACAGCCTCGCACCCCACCTGTTCTGCTCCACAAGGTCACCTGCCTGGCCCCAGTCTCCCTGGCCTCATCTCCCACTCCCTTGCCACCTGTCCCCTCAGCCCAACCGAACCGCAACTTGCAACCCCCACTCCCAACAGGAGACACTGTTTTGAGCCTTTGGACATGCCCTCCCCTCTGCCTGGAATGTCCTCACTCCTCTGTCTACACCACAGCCACGCATCCTTCAAACTCAGCTCAATTCAAACCTCCAGAAGCCTTCCCTGACCTCTGAAGTGGGGTGAGGTGCCTCCTCTGGGCTCCCAGGGCACCTCCGTTTACCTCCACCCTGTCACATATCACATGGCAGGGGCTGTGACCCCCTCCTCCCCAGGGCTCCGTGTAAGAAGGGTCTGCACACTGGGCATGTTTGCTGAATGACTAGATGAACAGTTCCATGAGGAAGGCAATTTTGTGCCCATTTCACAGGTGATGAAACTGAGGTTTAGAGAACTGATCTGTCCACTGCTTCTCTAAGACCAGTGGCCACTAACACAAGAACCAAGATCCTCACTCTTTATGGGTCTTCAGACCCTGGAATGGGTTAAATTGCGTCTCTTGAAAAGATACATTTAAGTCCTAACTCCTGGTGCCTGTGAATGTGACCTTGTTTGAAAACAGGATCTCTGCAGAGGCAATCAGGTCAAGACGAGGTCATCTGGGTGGGCCCTAACCAATGTGACTGGTGTCCTTATAAGAAGGGCAGAGACACAAGAGACACAGAGGGAGAGCACCAGTGACAACAGAGGCAGAAACTGGAGTGTGTCTCCAAGCCAAGGAACACCAAGTATTGCAGACAGCGCCGTGAAACTAAGAGAGAGGCGTGGAATGGCTTCTCCCCTAGAGCCTGCAGGAGACCAGGACCTTGCTGACCCCCGATCTTGGACTTCCTGCCTCCAGAACTGGGAGAGAAGAAATGTCTGCTGTTTAAGCCCCTCAATTTGTGGTAATTTGTTATGGTGGTCCTAGGAAATGAATACACCTCTTTAAGAACTTGTTTAAAATGTACATAAACACAACATTTTGTGTACCTCAAAGGATCAATGATTCCCTGAAGCGGATCCATGGAGGGTCCCTGGTCGTCCCCACCATCCCCCCTCACATGGACTGCTCTGCGAGGTGGTACGACGACCTGGAAGGAGAACCCTGAGGTCAGCAGATGGGGCTCCACTCCTGCTCCTCTGCATCTTGGCCAAGCCACTCTGGCTCTCTCCCCATTTCCTCCCCGTCTATTGGATGGGAATAACAAAGGCACCCACCCCAATGACAGGCTTCCCACCTGTGGCAGGTGTGGTCTGGAGGGAGAACCTCAATTCTGGAGCAAGTTTCCAGGTTACGTTATTCTGGGCCTCACTATTTTAAGTTGCTAAATCAATACTCGGGTGACTTTCAGTGACCACATGACTTTTGATGACCTAAAAGGGACCAGGAAGACAAGGATCTGTTTCATCCAGAGACAGGGGAGGGAGACAGCCCTGCAGTGTGGGTTTAAGCTCCGGGTCTCGACCTTCACCGTACACTGGAACAAAGCGGGGGATGAGAAGAAAATCCTGATGGCTGCTCCCAGCCCCGGACTCTGAGGGGATTGTCTGGGGTCCGACCTGGGCAGCAGGACTCTTAAAAGCTCCTGGGAAAGTGTAATGGAAGTGACATTTCATCCATCAGACCCCAATCCTCAAAGTCCTGACGGTGACAAGTATTCAGGGGGGAGGGCCCTTGACACCTCGAATTCACTGTCTTTTCCTGCTAACGTCTTTTCACGCACATCCATCTTGTCTCGCCCTCATCCAATCATCCAACAGACACTTGTGGAGAACCTACCATGTGCCAGGCATCTTGGTCGCCCTCGCTGGGAATGGCCTGGCTCATCATTTCTCCAATACTCTGTAAGCACCCAGAAAGAAAATCTATATCCCATTCAACTCTGTCCCGCAGTGTCCCCGTCCCAGTGCCTGACGTGGAGCTTGGCACAAGGGCAGTACTCAACATTTGCTCAACAAGCGGGTGGAGGCACTAACATTTCGCTACCAACCTGCCTGCTGCTGACGTGTGGGGACGGGCACTCGGTCACACACACCTGGCCGTCCCTGCACACCCAGAGCACGTGCTGAGCACTCACTTCAGGCAAGCACGGCTAATGCTGCAGATAAAGGAGTAAAAGTTCCCACCCTTTCGGGGATAAGAGGAACAGAGCAACACCAGAAAGCAATCCATTACAGTACAACGGACCATGGTAAGACCACTTCCGGGCGGAGAAGAAGAGATGAGTCATCTTCAAATATGTCCGCTCTGTCCTTTATATTGTGTCTCCAGGGTGAAGAATAAGATGGAAAATCCAGCATCTTTGCAAATACTCAGACCCACATTTGAAACTCAGTTCTCCTCCCTACTATTGGCATGTCCTGGACAAATTATTTAATCTCGTTGAAGTGTGATATCCTGATCTGTAAAATGCGCACGACGGTGCCCACGTCACAGATTTGTAAGGATCGGCTGTAATCACGTGTGCGAGTGCCTGGCGTCCGGCATGTGGCAGGTGTTTAGCAAACCTTAGCCTCTCTCCCCATCTGACGGCACTTCATGTCTCCGCTCCTTGCGGCTAGCTCAGGACTGAGCCTGTAATCAATGCACAAACATCTGCCAACAGGAACAAACTGACCCCATGAAACTTGAATTGTAAACAAACAAAAAAATAAAGAACCCAATCTCCGTGCAGGCTCTGCCTATAGGTGCGGAAAAGCTCTGTGTTTATTTTGTCAAGTCACCATAGCAACTCGTGATGCAGCGACCAGCCCCAGGCTTAACTGTGATCAATTTATTTTGTAACCAAGGAAATGCCAGCTGTTCCGTGGGATCCAGCAGGGAAAGCAGAGACAGAGGTTGTGTGAGCGCCTCTCTCCTCTAGAAATAAATCTGGCGAATCCTCCTCAGTTTTCATGTAGCTAAAGTCACCACTATCTAAAATGATGTCCACATGACAATATGTATAAACATGGATTTAGGAATAGGAGACAGAAAAGCTAGGCAAAAAAAAGGGCCAGCGTTGCTCATGGGAGCAATTAACATTACAGAAAACTCGTTATGAGGCTGCCAAGAGCTGGGACCTGGGCCCCTTGGAGCTAGCTTGGGGATTCTGCATCCTTTCATGCCTGCGTTTGTTCTCAGACTCGCTGTCCATACAGACTGGATTTTGCTGCTACTTTTTAAACAAGCCACCACCACCATGAAGTCAGGGGAAGAGGAAAACGTCCCCTCAAACTCCAGTCCCTGGAAAATTAAACAGCAGCTAGTGGGACCCCTGCCACACACCCAGGGGACAGAGGGAACCTCGGTGGCCTTCCTACCTCTAGGTTCCCAACATAACCAACTCATAGAAGGTGCAAGGTCTGAATCTGGTACACTGGGACTTACTCTGCCACACTAAATGGGGCCCTTCCCTGGAGCCAGCCTGTGGGCCAGCACTGGGTCCTCCAGAGCCCACAGACAGCTCGAGAAAGCGGGTGTGTGTTTGCCTTTGTTCTGGCTCAAGGGAGTTGAGGGTCGGAAACGTAAAGATCACCCAACCTCAAAACTCAAGGGGATGCTCCCGGAGCAAAGACGACGCTTTGAGAGGTCATGTTTCCCCTGCCATCGGGAGCATGTTTTGTGTGGAGGGAAGAGCGATGGTCGCGCGGGCACTGGATGGCTACAGACTCAGCACAAAGCAAAAAAGGGGAAAACGATCGCCGCGCTCCGACGAGCGGCTGGTCACAAAGCAGGTCTCACCGCCCTCCTCGGGCTGCAGGAGCGGTGGTCTCCGCACAAAAGCGAGAAAAGTGAGGTGGGGAGCACTCGAGGCCACCAGAAAGTCGCAGGTTACCCGGCGCATCCGGAAGATAAAGAATGGGGAAGAGCGAGGTTGCCCGCCCACCCGGGTTTGCACGGATCTGGGCTGCCCGGCCTTGGAGGGCTCCGGGGCACCGGCAGGTGGGGGATGGCCAGGGAGGGGCGGCTCGCACGGCCCCTCGCAGCTTGAGACCAGGTCGACCCGGGGCGTTCAAGGCTCACGGCCTGCCCCACCCCCGGAGAACCGCGCTCCCCTCCTCCAACGCACGCACCAGGTGGGGATGCCGGCTGCAGACAAAGGACCGGGACGTGGATCCCAGGCGGGCGCCACCGCCCGGCCAGAACCCTTCTGGCGCGCCCAGCTCCGGGGCAGGGCGAGATCGTGGCCCCCAACCTCCCCAAACTTGGCTGGGGGAAGGTGCCCAGTTACCTGCGCGGCCATAAAGGACAGATCCATGGTGTCGCTGCTCCCGCGGCTGCTGCCGCCCGCGCTCGAGTCTCCGCTGCTGCTGCTGCCGGTCCAGCCGCTTGCACAGCTGGCTGGGAGCGGGCCGAGCGGCGAGCACGCACCCCCGGACGCCCGCGGCGGCGGCGGCGCCAACCTCACCAGCCCCTGCGAGACGGCGCGTTCCGAACCCGCGCGGCGCCCCCGGCTGCCTCTGCGCTCGCGGCTCCGGACCGCGGTGGGGCCCGTAGGCGGGGCGGGGCGGGGCGGGGCGGCTCAGGGACCCGGAGCCCCTGCACGTGACCACTCCCAGCCCCACCCCCGCGGGTGGGCTGAACCTCGGAGCGCGAGCTTCCTTGTCCCTGAGCCGTCCGGAGGGAGAAACTGAGGCCCGAGGTGGCGAGCGGTGCAGGAACCAGCCTGGAACTCAGGTCCAGCGCTGTCGGCGGCCTGCCCCATGCCCTTAGGCCGAGTCCGCCGGGCGCGGGGAGCGGTGCTTTCGTGGGGCTGGCACGCCTTGCTCAGGGGCCTGAGGATCAGGGTCAGAGTGACCACGTTTCCTTGCCAGCTGTGCGCCCAGAGTCCGCTGCGCTGGGGGCTCTGGAGCTGGGCAAGAAGTTTAAATCCTAGCTCTGCTCTGTTGTGCGACTTGGGCAAGGTAGTGCCTCTCTGAACCTGGGCTTCCTCACCTGTGAAATGAAGATAACAGAACCTGAGAATGAAATGAGATCATGTGTCTGGCATGGGTGTCTTCAATAAATATGAGCTCGAACATGGCTAATAACGTAGAGACTAAACTGTGAATGATGCCTTCTAGAATTGCACAGTGTGCAACCTGCACAACTGGTACCCTATGGCTTTGTTCCAATCTTCCCTTACCTCAGACAAGTATCTCACATTTTTTGGATGCCATAGCTAAAATGAGGAGAACAGCAGAGATGCCGAAAGGGTCCTATGTGTGTGTATGGGTGTGTAGACACCCCAAATTTGGTGGCTGGCCCACGGAAGAGCAGGTGGGAGTTTTGCCCTTCTCTGAGGTCTTACTGGTAGGGTGTGGGTTGTGCTCGGACGGGTGTCTGGTGAGCATTGCTTGGTCCCTCCTGGCGGTGTCCCTCTCAGCACCTTCTCACCCAAGCTCATCATGAGCCCCTAAACAGCCTGTGAAGGAGGCAGCCCCCAGACTCTCAGACTTTGTCAGGAACAAGAAAGCTATGGCACAGAGAGATGGAGGAGTCTGTTCAAGGTCACCCAGCAGCTGGGAGCCCAGCAGGGGCTGTGGGAATGGGACCAGAGCCTTACGGACTGGTATGAACTGCATGTTTGTGTCCCCCTTAAAATTCATGTGTTCTAACCCTAATCCTGCAGTGGGATTTGGAGGTGGGGCCTTTGAGAAGTAATGAGGTCGTGAGGTCATGAGGGTGGAGCTCTCGAGGGGATTAGTGTCTTTATAAGAAGAGACGAGAACCGGAGTTCTTAATTTTAATTTAGTCAAAGTTTATGAATATTTTCCTTTCCAGTTAGCCCTCGTTTATGAAATCCTTTCCCAACTTGAGACCATAAAGATAATCTCCTGTAGTTTTTTATTTCAATTTTTTCATATTTCAGCCCTTTTGTAAATGATTATTTTTTGGTCTGGGTTACGGAAGCAATTTCATTTTTCCCATGTGAATAAGCAATTATCCCAGCCCTTTCTTGACCAGTCTCGCCCTTTCTGTTTGGTGTTGATTAGCATCACCAAATTTGCCAGGTGTGCATCCGGGTGTGGGTCCGTTTCTGGGAGGTCTAGTCTGTTCCATTGGCTGTTCATCTGGCCCGGTATTGATGCTGTTCTGACTTCGTCACCGAGATGGTTAATTTTAGGCGTCAACTTGACTGGGTCATGGGACGCCCAGATAGCTGGTTAGACATTCTTTCTGAATTTGTCTATGAGAGTGTTTCTGGAAGAGATGAGAATTTGAATCGGTGGACTGAGCAAAGCCGTTGGCCGAACCCAACGTGGGTGCACATCACCCAGCCCACTGAGAACAAAAAGGAGGAGGAAGGTTGAGTTCGCCCCCTGCCTGACCCCCTGAGCTGTTTTAAATTTTGATGAAGTCAGTTTACCTTAATGGATTGTCGTCTGCTGTCAAGTTTAAGAACTCTTTGCCCAGCCCTAGATCCTAGAGACTTTCTCGTATGTTTTCTTCTGGAATATTTATAGTTTTCAGTTTTACACTTAAATCCATGATCCCTTTGGAGTTAATTTTTATATCAGATGCGAGACTTTGGTAGAGATTCATATTTTGCTTAAATATGAATTTGCCGGAAAGACTGTCTTTCCTCCGCTGAATTGCTTTTACACCTTTGTCAAGCTCAGTTGGGCGTAGTCGTGTGGGTCTATTTCCGGGTGCTTTGTTCTGTCCCATCCATCTATGTGTCTTCTCTTTGCTGATTGCTCCAGCTATGTGACAACTCTGGCTAAACTGATTCCTCCACTTTTATTCTTCTTTTTCAAAAGTATTTTAGCCATTCTAGTTGTGTTTTGCCTTCCTATATAAATTTTATATTAATCTTGTCTGTATCTACAAAACAATTCTACTAGGTTGGGATTATGTTAAATTTATGTATCAAATGGGGAGAAATTGCATCTTTGCTGTGTGAGTCTTTCAATCCATGAAGACAGCATAATAAATCTTTCCATTTATTTAGATTTTCTTTATTCTTTTCATCAGTGTTGTGTAGTTTTCAGCATGCAGTCCTGGACACGTTTGTTAAATTCACACCTAGGAATTTCTTTCTTTTCTTTTTTAAGGATTGTAAATGGTATTAAACTTTTCATTTTGGTGTCCATTGCAAGTATATAGAAATATCATGGGTTTTGTTTTGTCTATCTTGAATCCTGTGACCTAGAACTTATTAGTTCTTGGAATATTTTTGTAGATTCCTTGGGATTTTCTGTGTGGACAATCACGTCATCTGCAAGTATGGATCATTTTCTTTCTTTCTTTCTGACTTGTTTTCTCTTTATTTCCTTGCCTTGCCTTACTGCACTGACCAGAACTTCTAGAACGAGGTTCAACATGGGTGGTGAGGCAGACCCCCATGTTTCCATTTGCTCCTCACGAGGACCCCTGGAGGCAGGCAGGACAATGGTGAAGGTGGAGAGACCTGCCCGAGGTGGCTGGCTCTTCTGCACCCCTGGCTGCTTCGTGATGACTGTGCTCCTGCAGGGGGCATCTCGTCGAGGAGGTGCTCAGCAGACAAATGGCTGGTGCAGTTCCCCGCCTGGCAGGTCTGGCCTTGCTCAGGAAGAGCCCAGCTCTCTCCCAGGACTCAACTCTGAAGAAAAAGAGAGATGGAACAGGCGGCGAGCTGAGGACGTCTGTTGGTTTGCCTGTTCTGTTTTTATGTTTTAAACTCAAACCTCCCTGAGAGACACCTTGAGTGAATACCTGCACTGAGCTGTGTGTCCTCGACAAGCCTCTCCTCTCTGGGCTCCAGTCCTCTCATCTCTAAAAGAAGGGGCAGATGTGGACCCACCAATCCTGAGTCCATTTTTAATGCCTGCCGTGTCCTGGCAGTGGACAGAACTATTTCATCACAATGTCCTTAAAGAAAGAAAACATTGTATGTTAGTGGTCACATTCAGTGTGTCAAGGAGGACCAGAGGATTTAAAAAGTTGTCAACAAAAGCTTGAACCGAGGTATTTTTAACTGACTCTATTGATGTATAATTTACATAAATGTACCCGTTTCACATATACAGTACAGGTTGAAGAGTTTTGACACATATATACACCCGTGGAACCAGAATTACAATCAAGATACAGAAGATTCCACCTCTAAAAATTCCCTCTTGTCCCTTTGCAGTCAACCCCCACCCCCCACCTCCAGCCTCAGGCTTCCATCCTATAGGTTATGCAACCAATGTTCAGGTTTCTGTCACCGCAGATTAGATTTGTCTTTTCTAAATTTTTCTGTGGATAGAAGCATACGGAAGGGACTCGATCCACCTTATTTTCTTCAGGGTGATGTTTCTGAGAATCATCCGTATTGTTGCATGTATCCTTAGTTCCATTTTTATTGCTGGATGGCGTTCTGACATATGGACATACCACGGTTTGTTTATTTGTCCTCCTGTTGATGGACATTTGGGTTATTTCCAAGTTTTTGGTTTTTATGAACAAAGCGCCTCTGAGCATTTCTGTACAAGTCTTTGTATAGACATTTTATTTTCATTTTCTTGGATAAAAACCTGGGAGTAGAATTGCTGGGTTGTATGTTTATAAAAAATTGCCGAACTATTTTAAAGAGTGTTTGTACATTTTCGTTTCCCACCAGCAGTGTTTCAGAATTCCAGTTGCTTTGTATTCTCACCAACACTTGGCATTTTCATTGTTTTTAATTTAGCCATCCTAGTGGGTGTGATGTGGTACTTCATTACGGTTTAAACTTGCATTTCTCTGATAACTGGTGACGTTGAACATCTCTTTTGCTTGCCTACTGTTGGCCATTTGTATATTTTCTTTTGTGAAGGATCTGTTCCAATCTTTTGCCCATTAAAAAAGATTAGATCAGTTGTCTTTTTATTATTGAATTGTAAGAGTTCTTTATGTGCTGTGGGTACAAGTTCTATGGCAGCTATATGTACTGCAAATATTTTCTCTGCCTGTGGCTTTTTTCATTTTCTTAATGGTGTTTTTCAAAGAAAAGTTCTCAGTTTTGAAAAAATCCCATTGATTTTTTTTTGTTGTTGTTCTTTTATGGTTCATGCTTTTTGTGACCTCTCTAAGAAATCTTTGCCTACCTCAATGTCATGAAGATTTTCTCCCTTTTTTCCTCCAAAGGTTTATAGTTACAGCTTTTATGTTTAGGTCTATGATCTATTTTTGTTTTTATATGTGGTATGAAGTGAAGGCTGAGGTCCTTCTTTTTTTTCTTTCCCAAATGGATGTCCAATTGTGCCAGCACCGTTTGTTGTAATGACTAACCTTTCTCCAGTGGATTACCCAGGACTAAGGCTAGGTTTAAGGAGACGCAAAGTTTAAGGTGGCACGCACTCTCAGGTGCCAACTCTGCATTTGTGCGACCCTCAGAGTGAGTGTCTCCTTAAATTTGGATGCCAAGGCACCTTGCTGGCCCCACCCACTGACGGTAAGCATCTCATTTTAGAAATTTCACTCTCCCCTGTAGCTCTCCCAGATGACCTCATCCAGGTGTGTAAGGATCCAGTGAGGACGCCCAGACCTCTGTCCTGAGCTCCAGACAGGCACG